TCTTTATACGTGAAGTGTGTTTCTTTTAGGCAACAGACCATAGGTCTTCTTTTTTCATCCATTTAGTTAATCTGTGTCTTTTGATTAGAGAGTTTAGTCTATTTACATTCAATGTTACTATTAAGTAAGGACATCCTTTTGCCATTTTGTTTTTGGTTTTCTGGTTGTTTTGTGGTCTTCTTTCTTGCATTTCTGTCTTCCTCTAGTGAAGATGATTTTCTCTGGTGGTTTAGTTTCTTGATTTTTATTTTTTGTGTGTCCATTGTATATTTTTTGGTTTGAGGTTACCATGAGCCTTGCAAATACTATGTTATCACTCATTATTTTAACCTGATAACATAACACTATTTGCATAAGCAAAGAAACAAGCAAAAAGGTAAAAATTTGCCTTTGTTGTTTCTGTTTATGTCTTATTATACTGTCTATGTCTTGAAAAGTTGTTTTAGTTATTATTTTTGTTTGGTTCATCATTTAGTCTTTCTAGTTAGGATAAGAGTAGTTTGCAAACCACAGTAACAGTGTTATAATATTCTGTGTTTTTCTGTGTATTTATATTACCAGTAAGTTTTGTATTTTCAGGTGATCATTTATTGCTCATTAATGCCCTTTTCTTTCTTATTGAAGTACCCCCTTTAGCATTTCTCGTAGGATAGGTCGGGTGTTGATGAAATACCTTAGATTTTATTTGTTTGGGAAAGTCTTTATTTCCTCTTCATAGTCAAAGGATATTTTCACTGGATATACTATTCTAGGGTAAAAGGTTTTTTCCCTCAGCAATTTAAATATGCCATGTCACTGTCTTCTGGCATATAAGGTTTTCATTGAAAAGTCTGCTGCCTGATGTATTGGAGCTCCTTTGTATGTTCTTGTTTCTTTTCTCTTGCAGCTTTTAGGATTCTTACTTTATTCTTGACCTTTGGACGTTTGATTATTAAATGTCTTGAGGTAGTCTTCTTTGGGTTAAATATGCTTGGTATTCTATAACCTTCTTGTACTTGGATATTTTCTCTAGGTTTGGGTAGTTCTCTGTTATTTGAAGGTTTACTCAAAATAAACTTTCTATCCCTATCTGTTTCTCTGCCTCCTTTTTAAGGCCAATACCTCTTAGATTTGCCCTTTTGAGGCTATTCTCTAGATTGTGTAGGCACGTGTCATTGATTTTTACTCTTTTTTCTCCTCTGTGTGTTTTAAAATAGCCTTTCTTCAAGCTCATTAATTCTTTCCTCTGCTTGATCCAGTCAGCTCTTAAAGGACTTGATGCATTCTTAAGTATGCCAATTGCATTTTTGAGTTGCAGAATTTGTGCTTGATTTTTAAAAATTATTTAAATATTTTTGTTAAATTTATCTGATAGAATTCTGAATCCCTTCTCTGTGTTATCTTGAATTTCTTTGAGTTTCCTCAACACAGCTGTTTTGAATTCTCTGTGTGAAAGGTCACATATCTTTGTTTCTCCAGGATTGATTCTTGGTGCCTTATTTAGTTCATTTGGTGAGGTAATGTTTTTCTGGATGGTGTTCATGCTAGTCGATGTTCCTCGGTGCCTGGGCATTGAAGAGTTAGGTATTTATTGTACTCTTCATTGCCTGAGCTTATTTGTAGCCATCCTTCTTGGGAAGGCTTTCCAGTGACACTGCAGTTCTTGCAGACTTGTAGAGGTACCACCTTGATGGCCTTGGGCAAGATCTGGGGTAATTCTCTAGATTACCAGGCAGAGTCTCTTGTTCTCTTCCCTTACTTTCTCCCAAGCACACAGAGTCTCTTTCTGTTTCTGTTCTGAGACACCTAAAGCTGGGGGTGGTGTGACACAAGCACTCCTATGACCACCACCACCATGATGTGCTGGGTCACACCTGAAGCAAGCACAGTGCTGGGTCTTGCCCAAGGCCTGCCTTAATCACTCCTCGGCTATAGCTGTGTTCACTCAAGGCCCTAGGGCTCTACAGTTAGCAAGTAGCAAAGCCAGCTGGGCCTGTGTCCTTCTCTTGAGGGTGACAAAGTCCCCCTGGCCACCAGCGGGTCCAGAGATACCATATAGGAGTCAGGGACTAGAGTCAAAAACCTTAGAAATCTACCTGGCATTCTATTGTATTGCGGCTGAGCTGGCACTCAAACCGCAAGACACAGTCCTTCCCCTTTTCCGCTTTTCCACTTTCCCCTTTCCAAAGGCTGAGAAACCTCACCCTATAGCCACCGCCATTCCTGGCCATGAGGAGTACTGCCAAAGTACCACCGGCATTCCCTTAAGGACCAAGGGCTCTTATGTCAGCTTGTGGTGAATGCTGTCTGGCTTGGACTCACCCGTGAGGTCAGTGAGCTCCCCTTTGGTCCAGGGCAGGTCTAGAAATGCTGTCCAAGAGTCAAGTCCTAGAATTGGGGACCCCAAGAGCCCACTTGGTGCCCTACCCTACTGTGGTGGTGTTGGTACCTAAGATGCAAGACAAAGTGCGCTTTACTCTTCCTTCTGTTTTTATCAAGCGGAAGGAGTTTTGCCCCATAGCCAACACAGCTGGTAATGTGCATAGTCTCACCTGAAGCCAACAAGTCTCAGAAACTCACCAAGGCCCTCAACATAGTACCTTGGTATCACTGCTGGTTATTCAGGACCCAAGGTCTCTTCAGTTAGCAGATGATGAATGCTACCAGGACTGGGTCCTTTCCTTCAAGGCAGTGGGTTTCCTTCTGGCCTAGGGCGTATCTAGAAATGTCATCCCAGAGCTAGAGCTCAGAACAAGGGCCTCATGACCTCAAGGTGCCCTATTCTTGTGTGGCAGAACTGGTAAACAAGATGCAAGACAAACTTCTCCCCACTCTTCCCTCTCTTCTTCTCAAGTGAGAGGAAGGGGTTTCTTTTTTATCCACAAGCTGTGCAATCTGGGGTTAGGGGAGGGGTGATGCCAGCATTCCCTTAGCTGCCCCAGCTGGTATTTCAGTGTGTACCATGCTACTTTAGTCCACTGTGTTTGGGCCTAGTTCAGCACTAGGACTCACCTATGAGGTGCAGTCCTTATGGCCTAGACTGCCTTTCAAGTTTTTACTTAGACACCGAGAGTACTCTGGCCTTTGGTACTGAGGTTTGTGGGCACTCAAGTTTGGACCGCTGGTATCAGTGATTCTCCTCTGGCTAGGGCTGGTTGAGATGCCTTCTTGTGGGTGGACATCAGCTTAGTTTGGTCAGATTTTCTTTTTGCTATAACAAGATGGCACTGGGTTCAGTACCTCACAATTGCTCTGTTCTCTCTTCACCAGCACCCAGAGATGCTCCTGGCACCAAGCCATGCTGCTGGGGTCAGGGAGGGGTGGTGTTGGAGGCTCAGAACTGTTTTTCTATCTTTTCAGTGTCTCTTTCAGTGATACGAGGTTAAAACCAGGTACTGTGAGTGCTCACCTGATTTTTAGCTCTTATGAAGGTGCTTTTTTCTGTGTAGCTGTTGGTTAACTTAGTGTGCTTGTGGTAGAGGTAGGGGGACAATCTGTGGAGTTTTCTGTTCTGCCATTTTACCTCACCTCCCTCCTAAAAAATATTCTTAAATGAGATTGTAATGTTTGTATGAACTTGCATAAAGACAGACTTCTTGTGTTTGGATCCTGTGTCTCTTACCCATTTTGTAACATTCTTCAACGTACTTATAACTCTGTGCCTATGATTCCTTATCTGTAAAATGAAGATAATAATAGTATCATAATAGATGTAAAACATTTAAAACAGTACTAAATGCCATGTAAGGTTAGGTGGTGGTATTATTACTATTTATCCTATTTACCTCATATTCTGTGGTCATCTGTCAGTATTTGTGAATACCTTTCAGTGACAGGAAATTAACTCTACTTCTTGATCCTAATTCTACTCCCTGTCTGTTCCTAATCTTGTTTTTCCTTTGCTTCCTCTTTTCTCATCTACTCATATTTTATGTCTTCCTTCATGCTTTATATAACTTTTATCCACCTTCAGTGTTTTTTGGAATACAGTAGTGTATGCATACATACATATACATCTTTGTTCCTAGAATTTACCACTTTTAGTGCATGGTTTTTATCTTGGACATTCATATATTCTAGTTTCCAGAACAGTAACTTCTAGACTTTAATAAATTATTTATTGAATGAACGAAGGAATCAATGACTTCAGATTTGTGAGGTGTTGTATATGATTATTATTTTATTCCTGAATCTTATTCTTTAGACCAAAAGGATATCCAGTTTGACAGTGTTCTTTTTTAAGAATGATGCTTATAACTGAATATAATAGTTCCTATGGGATTCCATCAGCAGAGAGTAAAAGAGTATTATTATGTCATTTTATTCTATGTGTATTTGTCTGTTACTGTACTTAAAATACCAAATGGGAGGGGCAGTATGACTTTGAACTCATTTGCCATAATGCTGAAGTCAAATGTGTTGCTGTTAAATCAGCTTTCTTTTACCCAATTCACATTTGTGCTTAAAAAAAAAAAGTTTTACAAGACCTTGCATATTTCTGTTCAACTTATTTTTTAACATTCATTCCATTATTTCAGTATTTATTATAAGTTGTATCAGTTTCATATTTCTTCATCTTCTATATATGGAGTTAATGCCCCAGTTACATCTCCTTATCTGTAAGACTAGTAATACCAAAAAAGAAAATGAATTTCATGTCTTAAAATTTATCATTAGTAAATTCTATATTTTCTGTTGATTATCACTTTTAAAGGCCAAACCCTCTTTTTAGGAATTTTTCCTGAATCCCACTCAGGAATCATATGCTGTAGTTTGCTCTATTTTACTAGATTTGAAATCACTCTTTTCCATGTATGTGGAAATTAGATTTCTGTTCCCTAGTTTCAATGCTTACAACACCTTTCACTTATCTGTAGCTCTTATACTTTTGATCAAAATTAATTTTATACCAGAAGCCAGGAAATTTTTTAGAGTAGTAGTTTTGAATTCTTGTTATTTCATTCTACTGTTATCAGTAGCCTCCCATGTTAACACCATTGTTTCTTTCTGTTTACTTTCAGCTGGTTGGTGGAGAATTTGACTTGGAGATGAACTTTATTATCCAGGATGCTGAGAGTATAACATGCATGACAGAGCTTTTGGAGCACTGTGATGTAACATGTCAAGCAGAAATATGGAGCATGTTTACAGCCATTCTACGGAAAAGTGTTCGGAATTTACAGACTAGCACAGAAGTTGGGCTAATTGAACAAGTATTGCTGAAAATGAGTGCAGTAGATGACATGATAGCAGGTATGGGGTTGTCTGACAGGAAAGTATAACTTAAATGTTTATAAAGTTTCACATACTTCCCTTTATATTCCATAGGTAATGTAGATTTGTTGACACTACTTTGATTTAAAATAAATGGAAATGTATGGAAATTTTACTTTTTATATTAATGGAAAACCTGAAGAGTGGAAGAAGAAAAACATAATTACTGTAGTAGACAAACATAATTACTGATGTTGTTTTCTAAATTTTAGAAAATCTCAGTACCACGGAGTGCTATGAAGTCTATCAGAAAAATAAACAGTATCTTTTTATGTAGTATTTCATTAAGCTTTTACATAATTAAAATACCACAATAGGTATTACAGTTCTGTATAATGAGCATTTTAGCAAATTCTCCTAGTTCTGTGCCCCTCAATCTGGCATAAATGCAACTATGACCTGAGGTACTAAAAGTCTTAGATAAGCATGGTGTATCTTTTGGACATGTCCATTTTGGAAGAAACTTGTATTAAAATAAATTAATATATTATGGGCTAGAACATAAAATTCACCAAGAATTTCAAGATAAAAATGCTAATGTTTTGCTTGTTTGGGTTATTTCAAACAGTAACTTTGAAATCTATAATTTTTTCACCACCAACCCTTTACTACCTTGCACACTCATTCTCCCGTGTGGCTGGATGCATTTCAGAAAAGTGTTTTGAATATTATTCCAGAGCAAGTATCATTCCAGAAAATAAGTTTAAAGTTTGAAATGTTTATTTTTTGTAAGCCATGAATTTTCAGCCTAAGTATCTTCTGACATAAAAGCATTTTCGTAATTACACAAGTGATGATATTACCCTCCACAGTATCATACCTGATCCGGGAAAGTAGTTCAGATACCAGAGAATACTCTTTAACATTTTGGCTTATGCATTTAATTATTTTTAAAATTTATGGAACAAAACATTAAACAAGAAAGAATGGAATGAAAAATGGGTTAAAAAAGAATGCAAAATTGCAAAAAGAATGCTTTGAATTTAAATATTTCAAAAAATTTGATTCTCTGAGAAAATATATTAAAAATCATATCTAATTACCTTCAGGGTGGCATATATCTTTTTTTAGAATGGTTTAGCAGTCCCTGTATGGGGTACTGATGGCTAACTTGATGAAAAATGAGATTTAGACATCTGTTTCTTAAAATACCTTTTTAATAAAGATATATTAATAGTAGCATTTCTATAAATTCTCGAGTTACTTAATAGGAATGTATTAATATAGACTTATGTGTACACATGTTTTGTAGGACATCATATGATCTTTCAATTCTTATATCTGAGCTTAAGCTCTTTTTTTTTTTTTTCCTTTTGTAAATTGGCTGCTCTATGGAGTGCAGTTTAGAGAATGAGCCAAAATTACACATATAGTAATTTACTGGTACATAATTCATCAGCACTGAAATGTAACAGTGACAGTGAGGGTGACTGTATCATAGAAGTTCATATCTTGACATTGCTATTATATAAAGCTCCTTAATTCTCTTATCTTTTTCTCACTAGTAATATTAATAACACAAAACTTTCACTTTTTGTAATTTCTAGCATTTCCCTTCAAAAGAGCTTGATGTTGGAAGGATATGAGAAAAGAGAATAAATGTCAGAAAAATACCTCTGTCTTGCTTTTTAATAGAGAAATTAAACTTTGAATATTATACTGAGGAAGAACCGGCAGCCACCAAAACACTACTAACATTCATATCTGAATGTACTGTAGTATGTTAAGTTCAATGGGGTCCTTTTTATTTAATAATATAGTGTGTCACTAGAAGTGGCTAAATTAAACATGTATAGCAAATTGATAAGAAAATTTCATGGTGTTAGTATTTTTTCTTTTAAAAAAAATCATTTCTGATTACTTTCAATCTTGTTCTCCAGAAAAGAAGACCTTCTATAATAGAATTAAACTGAGCTGCTTGGTTGTGTTACATATACAATATATAAGTAATTACTATTTTTTCTCTTTTAAAAGTAATTTCTGATTGTTTTTAATCTTGTTCTCCAGAAAATATCTTCTGTAATAGAATTAAACTGAGTTGCTTCGTTGTGTTACATATATAATATGCAAGGAATTTTTTAAAATTTCTAATTAAATACAAAGTTAATAGATTACTTTTTGTGACATACATGGGAGATAAGATAAAGTCTTGTATAACTTGAAAAAAAATTTAGATGTTGCAAATATTTTAAAAAGTTTTATTAAAGTATTTTATGTAAACCTTTAAGAAGTCTTCTGTAAAGGTTGCCATTGCAGCTAATTGCTTACAAATACTTCATATTATAGAAACATTAAATGGACTAAGACAAAAATACTTCATATTAGCTTAGGGTTTTTACAGTACTTGAATTTTTTATAGAAACATGCTTTTTGACCTATATATACTAATATTTTCATACATTTTTGTTGCTTAAGTGATGACATGTTTTATTTCGTTAAAATATTACTCTGAAAGTGGCATATCCACTGTCACACTTTTATTGTAGAGATTACTTGCTTATTGTGTGTTAAATAAAATTATTTATGAATTGATTAATTATTGATGAAAATAAGCATACTAAGTTTCCATTTTGAAATATACTAATGACAAATATTTTTTAAAGTCTCAAATTCCAGTTATTAATCTGTGATATGATATTAAATAATACACATTATATATCAGTACTAAGTATTTCAGCTTACCCTAACCTAACCTTTTTATTAATTGATTATAAGCTTTTAGAATATATATGTGTATTGCTTTGTAATAACCTTTGTAGTATGTTTCATTCTTAAGAAGTGCTTTAGAAATTGAGGAAATGAAGTATAAATGTTTAGATGTTCAATTTCTTGCAAAGAACAATGGCAGAAGAAGTATTAATCACAATATGTAGAGAAAGCAATCAGAGACAAGAGATTAAATGTGTAATTTTTCTCATTATTAGGTGTGCTGGTCTGTTATATGCACATAAACACTCACACTAGCATGATGAATACCATTAGTAATGTACTTACAGACAGTGTGTAAGAGTGAGGGTTCTGAAACTATACTGTCTGAGTTTGAATCCTGATTCTTCCACTTACTAGGTCTGTGTTCTTGAGCAATGTGAATAAATTATCTGTGCCACAATTTACTCATTTTACAAGGGGATAAAAATGGTACTTACCTCATAGGCTTGGTATGAGGATTTGTGAGGTTAGTATATGTAAACCACTTGGAATAATGTCTCACCTGGAGTAAGTGGTAAAAATTGCTAGTGGGCCAAGGAATATACGAAGAATATATTAAGAATGGACAATTCTGAAAGACAATATAGTCAGCTGTTACTTTTTCATTTGACAATAACCAATTCACAATTTTACATCTTTGTATATTTTCATATTTTTACCTACCTTTCCCTGCACGCAGCAGGCTGTGTTATGTTGTGTGTGTGTGTGTGTGTTCTGGGAATATATAAAATCTATTTTACATTTCTGCTAAGAGAGCTTAATTGCATTGGTGATTTAATGGGGGAAAATCATATAATTGAAATAAATTATTTTGGTTATTTAATGAGTTAAAAATTGTTAATTGGGATGGCTGTTCATGAGGACATTTAGCTGTATTAGATACATATATATAGAGAGAGATGACAATGACAACTTTTATCTTTCAAAAAGTATATTACCTTGACAGATGGCAGCTCATGACTAGAGTTCAGAATAACTTTATTTTCCTTTGAAGATCTTCTAGTTGATATGTTGGGGGTTCTTGCCAGCTACAGCATCACTGTCAAGGAGTTGAAGCTTTTGTTCAGCATGCTTCGAGGAGAAAGTGGAATCTGGGTAAGCTGTGGTCAGAGGGAAAGGTATTCAGTATTAGTTCATTAATACTTAATGTTCAAAAGTTTGTCTCTAGAGAGCTATATGCTTGAATTTATAATGGAAATTGCTTTCCTCTTAAATGATTTAGTAAATGTTTTATAAATGATTTAAAATTAATTTTCTCTCTAGTTAAAAAACAGTCCAGTGGCTAACGTGGTATATTAAGTATTGTTGTTAAATTTGTACAATGACATTTATTTCTTTTATTGTTTCCCCAGCCAAGACATGCAGTAAAATTATTATCAGTTCTTAATCAGATGCCACAGAGACACGGTCCTGATACTTTTTTCAATTTCCCTGGTTGTAGTGCTGCGGTAAGTTTTAAATACATGTGCTGATTTTTATTTATTTATTTTTAGGTCAACTTTAGTAAGGTTTAATTTACATATAATAAAATTTACCAGTTTAGAAAGTACAATTTGATGAGTTTGGAAGTCATACAACCGCTACTATATAATGATTTGAACAATTCCATCACTTCCCCAAATTCCCTTGTGCCTGTTGGAAGACATTCCCCCCTACCTATCCTCACTCCTTACTACCTCTGATTTACTTTGTGTTCCTATAGTTTAGCCTTTTCTAGATTGTCATGTAAATAAAATCATACAGTATAGTCTTTTTTTTTTTTTTTGACGGAGTCTTGCTGTCACCCAGGCTGGAGTTCAGTGGTGTGATCGCGGCTCACTGCAACCTCTGCCTCCCCGGTTCAAGCAGTTCTCCTGCCTCAGCCTCCCGAGTAGATGGTATTACACACACCTGCCACTGTGCCCAGCTAATTTTTGTATTTTTAGTAGAGATGGGGTTTTACCATGTTGGCCAGGCTGCTGTCAAACTCCTGACCTGCTGTTTGCCTGCCTAGGCCTACCAAAGTGCTGGGATCACAGGTGTGAGCCCCTGCACCCGGCCTGGTATATTGTCTTTTGTATCAGGCTTCTTTCACTTACCATGTTGCTTTTGAAATTTTCTATGTTGTTGTTTTAATTACTGTTTTATTCTCTTGTCTTTTTTTTTTTTTTTTTTTTTGAGTAGTATTGAATTTTATGGATATACCACAGTTTATCCATCCTATCCATTCACTAGTTGATGGACTTTTGAGTTTCTAGTTTTTGGCTGTTATAAATAAAACTGCTGTGAACATTTGAGCACAGGTCTTTCTATGGACATATGTTTTCTTATATTTCGATTAAATACCTGAGTGAGATTGCTGGGTTTTATGGTAACTGCCTGTTTACTTTCATGAGAAACTGTCTACTTGTTTTCTCTATTAGAACATTGTACATTTTCATAAGCTGTGTATGAGAGTCCCACTTGATCTGCATCCTGGACATTTTCAGTCTTTTAAATTTGAGGGATTTAAATGGTTGTGTACAGTAGTCCCGCCTTATCCATGGGGGATATATGTTCTAAGACTGGCTCAGTAGATACCTGAAACTGTGGATGGTACTGAACCATGTATATAATATATACTATTTTTTTTCCTCTACATACATACCTGTGATAAAGTTTAATTTGCAAACTGGGTACAGAAAGAGATTAACAACAATAACTAATAATAAAACATAACAATTATAGCAATATATTATAGTAAAACTTTTGTGAGTGTTGTCTCTCCCTACTCCTCCTCCCTCGTGGTCTCTCTTTCAAAATATCTTACTGTACTGTACTCACCTGTTTTTGGACTGTGGTTGACCATGGGTAACTGAAACCATGAAACCACAGATAAGAGGGGAATCTACTGTAATGGTACCTCATCATAGTTTTAATTTTGCATTTCATTCATGACTGATGATGATGAGGATTTTTCATGTGTTTATTGGCCATTCTTATATCTTCATTTGTGATGTTCTGTTCAAATCTTCTGTTCATTTAAAAATTTTGGTTGTTTATCTGATTATCCTAAGAATTCATTATATATTTGGAATGTAAGTTCATCTATTAGATCAAGGTAAAATATTCCCTGTTTTAAAGAGTCAAGAAAAGTTACATATTGTTTGACAATAAAATGTTATTTATATTGTATGATAATAAAACTGCCTGAACTAGTGGCTTAAATACTAAAATCTGAAAGGTTACTATAGGGTTTAACTCTTCATTTGAAATTGTGTGTGTGTGTGTGTGTGTGTGTATGTGTGTTTGTGCGCATGCGTATGTGTGTATGTGTATTTTTTTTTAACAACAAGTACTTAGAAATCTTTGACTACTTTGAGATTATTTATTGGCCACCTACAGAGTATTTTCTATATCTTCAGTCATTATACTTGGAATATACTACATTCCTTACTCTTGAAGAACTCTGACGGCTGGACATGCAGATACAGCTTGTTACAATAAGAATTATAAATGACATTGTAGATTTAGGTACTCATAACTATGGGAACACAGTTGAAAAGAGAAATCACGCTAGGTTGAAGTCCAGGAAAGCTTCACAGATGAGGAACATATTAGTCTGCCATTAAAGAATAATTGAGATTTTGTTGGAAGGAAGAATGATTTGGATAGAAGCAACATGATGTATAGAAAGAGGAACTGTAAAAGAAGTGGAATAGCTGGTATATTTAGATGTACTTTGGAATGTGGGTTTGGGTAGTAGAGGAGGATAAAATCAAAAGGGTTTGTTGGAGCCATAGCATGTGGGAAGTCTTGTATAACCTGAAGAAATTTAAATTTTATTCTGAATGCAGAAGATTTTTGACATAGAAGGGCCGTGTTTTATTTGAGAAAGGCCATTATCAGCAATATGAGGATCTGTTTGGGGAACAGGTTAATTTTAAAATCGTAATGGGTAATTATCTTTTATGTAGAATTTGGATAAAGCCTAGGAAAATAAATAAATCCATTCAGATGTTTCTTGAAGTCAGGTGAAATAATCAGCTACTTTCTCATTTATTCCTTAGAATGGCTACATTTTATTTGATTGCTATTTTCAAGGGAGTGCTATATTTTTCCTTTTCTGCTTTTGAATGGATCTGAATCATTTTTGTTTATAAATATCAGTGGTTAAGTTTCTGAGTAATAAATGTCATGCTTTACCTTTCTTGGTTTCAATTTTGTTAGCATTATAAACATTATCTCTTAATGCTTGCATGTCTTCAATATTGATTCCGTTAACATTTTCTAGCTCAGTCATTTTTGGCTTTAAATATTCAATCTCCTTTAACCAAATGGATTACTACTGAAAACCTAGCATAAACCATAGAAAACTGAAATTGGGAGGCTTATATGTAAGAGACTGTATACTGATGAAACTAGATGGGGACTTCTTGGAGTATAGTCTGAAACCCACTATGTAACCTAGAGATAAAATCTAATTCACTGAGTATTTGAAAATTGAATGCTTCTATAATCAACAAATACTATTTAGGTATAGTTAGATTGTTTTAATAAAATACTAGCTTTTATTTTATGGATTTGTTTGTGATTTTCTGATATTTATACTTTGATTGTTATTTAATCTGCAAAAGCCATATTTGATGTTAGCTACTATCACATTTCTTTAACTGATACTTTTGTACCTTTTCTCATTGCCTTGTAGGCAATTGCCTTGCCTCCTATTGCAAAGTGGCCTTATCAGAATGGCTTCACCTTAAACACTTGGTTTCGTATGGATCCATTAAATAACATTAATGTTGACAAGGATAAACCTTATCTTTATTGGTAAGTAAATGTTTAATTTTAGGACTTTTTTCTTTAAGTACTTGAATTCTATAAATGTATAGTCTCAAGGCAACTTAGATAGAATATATATATATGTATATATGCTAAAACTGTGAAGACACTGTAAATCAGTTTTATTTATGTGTGTATATATGCATTTATTTTGCTATTGATTCTAGGTCATCTGCCTCACGATTATCATTCTTTTTCAATTACAGTTTAAAAGTCAAAGGTACAGACTTTCTGTCCCAGTCTCCTTCAATGTATATCAGTTGTGGGAATTTTAGTGAGGATTGCTGGTCCCTGAAAAAAATTCCAAACTTTTACCAGATTTCATTCATTTTTGCCTTTTCACTTACTTTGTTCTATTAACATAACTGACATATGCTTGAAAATTGTTAATAATAACTACGTAAGAAATTATAAGGTAAGATTATTTGGTGTGGACAACTAGAATGAGTTGATCAACCTAACAATTTGTTGATCTGTAAGGGTTGAAAGCTTGGTAATTTTAGTATGCCAATAATGATGCACAGTCAGCATACTTATGAATAAGAACATCAAACATTCATTGATTGCCATATTATATGCTAGGCATTGTAAATATTTATATATATGAGTTCATTTAATACTTGCAATACTCTGAAATAAGACTGCATGTGTTCAAGTTCTGGCTTCACCACCTACTATTCACCCTGTATTTTTGGTGTCTTCAACTATAAGATGAGGATAGTAATAGTGTCTATCCCATAGGATTTAATGAGAGAATCATATTTAAAGCTCTTTGTTTAATGGCTGGGTCAGAAATGTGAGCAAAGAAATGCGTGACCTATTACTATCTTCTAAAATTCTATTATAAAATATTATATATGGATAAAATGAGAGCAAGTTTTAAATAAGCATCTGAACTTCCAAACATAAATGGGGTTGGACTTCAGAGTGGTCATTTTGGGAGGTCATACATTAATTTCAGTGGTACCTTCATTTTTCAATGATTAAACATTTTTCTACATTGTGATTAAATTTACAGCTAAGGGGAATGCTTCTGTAGAAAAAAACAACTATATTTCATAGTTACCTCTTTTTATTTTTTTAAACTAAAAATGTACTGCTTTACTTGATCAGCTGCATTATTTATCAACCTTGACGCTGACCAAGTTTTTTTTTCTTTTTGTTGTTAATTTGTAAGCTCTTTTCAAAGGATTATAGAGCAGATTGTTATTTAAAATGTGAACTTTGTGTAAACGTGTTCTGTATTTGCTGATTGCAAATGGTCCTTAAAAGTAGATAAAGTCTACTTGGTGGTAGGTTTTTGTTGGCAATTAATTTGTTTTTAAGTATTTCTGAGATATTAGATTGAAATACTAAAAGCTTTCATAGTCTTTTGTTTCCCAGTTTAAATTTCTTATATTTACTTATAACTAAACCTTTTATATTTTTGTTTAGTTTTTATTTGACACATATTAAACTGCTTCTACTGTACAGGGAAATAAGTTTTATTTTCATAAGAATGTTTAATAGCCATTAGGTGTTTAGTTCTTTTTATCAGAGGATATTATACCATTGTCAGTTGTCTTTGCAGTTTTCGTACTAGCAAAGGAGTTGGTTACTCTGCTCATTTTGTTGGCAACTGTTTAATAGTCACATCATTGAAGTCCAAAGGGAAAGGTTTTCAGCATTGTGTGAAATACGATTTTCAGCCACGCAAGGTAGGTAAAAGTAAATATTTTTATAACTCACCTGTTATGACAGAATTCTTAACTCTTTTATGACCTCTGTAGTATTCTCTTTCACTGGTTTTCCTATGCTTTTAATGGTTTTCTCTTATCCTTGTCTGCGTTTCCTTTTTATTTTTATGTTTGATTTTTATCTTCTATAAAATCAGTGTTTTGATCTTCTGTGGTGTATTTCTGTTACCGTCTCTCATTATCTCAGTCTGATCTGTTCTGTGGCATTCTTTCGATAAATACTTATTATTTACTGAGTATTGGACACCATTGTAGGCACTAGGGATTCATAAATATTTGCCCCTTTTTAAAAAAGCTAAATGTTAAACCCTCAGATTAAGCAATGCACTGTTACTTTTTATTTGTGTATGTGGGAGATTCAGCTAATCCTAGTAGTTCTGAGTCTTGTTTCCTAAGATGGAAGGTTTTGTTAATTTCTGATGCTTTAATAATGCTGGCTTCAAGGAGAAGAATGTTGCTGTGCTATTAGTTTTGGCTCATGAAATGTGTCTTTACTTAATATCCTAAATAATAGCAGAGACAAGGCCAAAACACATTTTAAAAACTGCTCTAAAGAGAAAATGCAGAGAACTGTGCAACTGTATGATTAGAATTATAAGAGATAATTCATTCATAATTAGATGGCATTTTCTAGAGAGATTTTCCTGCCTGTCTACCAGACTCCGTCTTTGTGTCGGAATAACAAACTATCTGAAAGTCCAGATGAAAGAAAACAAGGACAGAGTGCAAAGGAGTTCCCGTCACACATGTTTAAGGCCTTGTCCCCTTCCAGGTTCAGGGTTCTTTCTTGGGTATATGACAGTGAGATTGTCAACATTTTTTAGGGCACACTGACTCCTCCTGACAGAAGTATCGCCTTACTCTTTGTGATTAATGGTACAATCATAACAGATATGATGAACCCAGATGCGGTGAGGGGGAGGTCTTTATTTCTTTTTCATATCTTTTTTGTTTGTTTTCTTGTTACTTACGATCTGATGTGTGTCTTGCTATATACAGAGAAATTATTTTGGGTGATATTTTCAAAAATTCGTTTAAATTTTACATGATTCTAACAAAAAATATTTGCTTTATATTTAATGTCAGTTATTGTCATTTCTATTAAAGAATATCAATTTAACAATAATTAATATATACTTAGAAAATAGTTTAAAAAGCAATGATTCTGAATACATATATTTGTTCATTATAATGTTGTATTCTTTCTTTTTTAATACAAATAGATTATTTTAATACCAGTCACATTGCCTTTGCTGTGGAAATTCTGTTTTATTAGAATTAAGGTGAGACCAAGATAGTTTGCTAAAAGTGCCAAATTATTTTGAATTTCAGTGAAATTGATTAGAAGTGCAGTTTTTGGTATCATAATTTTTCATGTTAGGATTGTGTGTTTTTAACAAATGTTCTAGGTAACTTTTCTCATCAATTTTAGGAAACAGTGGTTTAAAGAATACACATGCAGACAATTAGAGTGAAGTTATAACCAAATGAAATTGTCATTAACCAATAAAAAGCACTTTAACCCATTTGTTCTCACTTTTTCTATTTTGTGTCTTCTTCACTGTTTACTTGTGGAAAACACATTCTCCTTTGTAAAGCTCTCAATATGCAGTGATTCTAAGGGGTCTAGTTAGGAGCAGGTCCAGAGAATGATGTGGATTTTAAAAAGTCTTCTGTGAAGATTCTCACAAATCTTGAAACATCACAAATATTTGCTTTCACTGTGTTTCATTATAATAAGTTCATTCTCTTATTTATTCCTTTCTTTAGTTTTCCACAGATGCCCTAGATAAGTTATTGTTATCCTTCCTAATAAGAGATTTACTGGCCTTTCAAAAAGAAATCTTTACATTAAAACTTTTGCTTTCCGAGCTGCACTACTTTACCAGCTGTTAGAACTTGTGAAAATGGATATAAACCATTAGCATGTTACCTAATGGTAATATGTGCTCTAGACATATTAGCTACTGTTGATATCATGCTGTACTTTTTATTCTTCAATTTATTTTCATTTCTTTATATTTATATATATATATCTTGTGGATTCTTAATAGAGATCTTTTTTTTCCTTATTACTGGTTGTGTCCTTTTATAAATTTCTTTTTGAGTCTCAAACTAAATGCAGACTTCACTATATATACATAATATCACTATGCACTCATAGTTTCCAAGTTTATTTTCTTTAGTCAAGGTATATCAGATCAAAAGTTAGGCTTTTTTTTTTTTTTTTTTTTTTTAGCCATTGAAAAACTCACTTGTGTCTGTTATCTGTAGAGTACAGTTTGATGTACCAAGGAAAGAGAAAAGTTACTTTTCTTGTGAATAAGTACTATGGTCTTTACTGGGATCAGCTCATTAATCAGTGCATTTGTTTATTCATTCATTTAATTTTATCATATATTATTGTTATAACCAAAAGCAAACCTTGATAAACTCCAAATCTGAATAATTTTTCTGTATTAATTATCTTAAGTTAATGGTACCCTTACCCATCTAAGTGAAAATTGGAAGCCATCTTAGACTCCCCTTTTGTATGTTAACACTTCCTATCAGTTCTGTTAGTTAACTCCCATCCTCACTTTAAAATTATTAATGCCTTTGGCCGGGCGCGGTGGCTCAAGCCTGTAATCCCAGCACTTTGGGAGGCCGAGGCGGGCGGATCACGAGGTCAGGAGATCGAGACCATCCTGGCTAACCCGATGAAACCCGGTCTCTACTGAAAAATAAAAAAAAAAAAACTAGCCGGGGCCGGGCGCGGTGGCTCAAGCCTGTAATCCCAGCACTTTGGGAGGCCGAGACGGGCGGATCACGAGGTCAGGAGATCGAGACCATCCTGGCTAACCCAGTGAAACCCCGTCTCTACTAAAAAAATGCAAAATAACTAGCGAGGCTGGAGTGGCGGAGCGCCCTGTAGTCCCAGCTACTCGGGAGGCTGAGGCAGGAGAATGGCGTAGACCCGGGCGGAGCTTGCAGTGAGCTGAGATCTGGCCACTGCACTCAGCCTGGGCGACAGAGCGAGACTCCATCTCAAAAAAAAAAAAAAAAAAATTATTAATGCCTTAGCTGAGATCTGCCCCCTCCCCCCATCCTTGGGCGCAATAGCAGGCCCCTATCTAAAAAAAAAAAAAAAAAAAAAAATTATTAATGCCTTTGTCTTAGTTCAGCGGCTTATGGTGTCTTACCTAAACCTTTGCAGTGTTTTTTCAGTTTTGTCTTTATCCACACTTGCCTACCTATCTCACCTCCACATTGCTGCAGTTATTTTCTTTAGCTATGGAGCTGATCGTTTTAACTTTCCTCCTCAGAATTATTTGATTATACCACATTATGCAAAAAACAAAGGCCAGGTTCCTAAAGGTCTGTTTACAATCTAGTCTTTGCCTGTTTTTGTTTTTGTTTTTTTTTCCTGCTAAACCTACACACTGAGGAAAGTTTTGTCAAGCATTTGTGCTGTATCATATTAAGATTCTGCCTGGAATTTTTTTTTAACCCCTGTCTACTGAACAGTTCCTTTTCATCCTTAAAGCTTAGTCTTAAAGGTTCATTTTATTCTTTCAGTGAATACTTCTATGATAGTCTTTCTTCTCTATTTGTCTTTCCTTCCCAGGTACTTATAGTAATTACTTGTATTACTCCCACATCTGTATTTTAGATACTCTCTACTGTTCTCATAACTGTTGTTCTAGTGAAACTTCCTTCAGTGTGTATATGTTGTCTGTCTTCATATACCCATTATCCAAGGTTGGGACAAGATACTTGGCATAAAGTAGGCTCTCAGTACAGTTTTTGAATGAATGAATGATTCTGAAAGGTAAATAATAATCAATTTTAGCATAAATGAACCTCATCATGAGGACATAGTAGATAAAAACAAAATAGCAGTTTAGTTAATGGTATGTCATTTATGGGTGCCAAATACATTGGGAACTTTTCTTCATAGTTTTCATATATTATCTATTTATAATATTCACAAGGAATCCATAAAGTAGGCATTATTATTCCCCTTTTTCAGAGATGAAAATAGGTTCAGAGATGCTAAGTAATTTGCCAAAAGCCATAGAGCTAGTAACTTGGGAATCCAATTCATGTCTTTATGAAGTAAAATTCTTGCTGCCCAGTACATTGAGTTATCTGGAGTAGTAAGAACATTGAATTATCTGGAGTAGTAAGAATTCAGTAAGTATTGTTTGAATGAGTACTTTTTTTTATAGCAAGTACCCCAATAAGTATAAGATTACATCTAGTATTTATCTTAAAACTATCTTTGGGCAGGAAATCTTTGCCTATATGTAGGCATTTATTTGTGTCCCTTCTCTTTAAAAATGTAAAGTTTTTACACATTTTACTCCACAATATAAAGTTTATATCTTCTATGTTATTTAGGTAGCATTCTGGTTGAATATTTTCAAAATCAGTGAAGGTGGTAATATATGCAAACTTTAATTCTTATACTTGTAAAATTCTGTAAGATTTTTCTTAAATTTATTTGACGCTCTTTTTTATGGTTTCTTCTTGATAATTTTGTATTTTTTAGAAACAATTGTTAAATGACTACATTAAAGATTTTCTCTTCTGATTTTAATCAGGGCTAACATATATGTTGGTTTCGAATCAAGTGGAAGACTTAGTTTGCAATAAATTAATAATTACCTGGAATGAAAAAAAACTTAAAAAAAGGATGTGCATTTTAGACAGTTAAATGTCTTGACCTGACCTTGCTTTTATAGAAGGACACTGTTGTTTTGTATTACTGACTTTTTTGAGTTCTCTAACACACTATTTTTTTTTCTTTTTCTTTTCTTTTTGTTTTTTTTTGGAGACAACATCTTGTCCTGTCGCCCAGGCTGGAGTGCGGTGGTGCAATCTTGGCTCACTGCAATCTCTGCCTCCCAGGTTCAAGTGATTCTTGTGCCTCAACCTCCCGAGTAGCTGGGATTACAGGCACATGCCACCACGCCCGGCTAATTTTTGTATTTTTAGTAGAGACAGCATTTCACCATGTTGGCCAGGCTGGTCTCGAACTTCTGACCTCAACTGATCTGCCCACCTTGGCCTCCTAAAGTGCTGGGATTACAGGCATGAGCCACCGTGTCCAGTCTATTTTTATTTTCTAAATTGAAATGAACAAAATTGAATTTTGCTCAAAGTATTTTAGATACCTTGAAATAACTAATATTTTAGTAATTAAGGATTATTATAACTTTTTATTTCTCAAAATATATATGAAATAATTGAATAGTGCATTTAAATAATCTGTAGAAGAAAGTTTGTATTTTATATTTTGGAGGGAGGGAGAAACCAGTTAATTTTCCCCCCTTCAGAAAGCATACTTGTTCAAATGTTTACAAATTATTTGTATTTTTCTATACTTTAGAAAAAAATATTTCTATATGCTCAATTTTAGGCTATTAACTCTCAAGCGACTAAAAGTTGTTTCAGAAATCAAACCATCCATATTAAAATAGGTACTTAAAATGCTTTTTGATACCAGTAACTATAAAGTGGGCACTTAATATGAACTCATTCATTTATTCTTAATAAATATTCCCACATTAAGTTATTAAATATATAATTATCACTGGATTTACTAAATCTAAATTGTGAAATTGAAGCTACCTAAATCTTATTATAGATACTAAATTGTTGTTTCTTTGACAGATCTTTCCTGACCACGCAATCCAAAGTAGAATCCTAGTTTATTCTTTTTCAGTTTATACTGTTCTTTTTCTCCTCACTGTAATCACCATGATTTATAATTCTACATTTGTTTAATTGCGTCATATAATATATTTCTTTTACTAGCTCATAAATTCTAGGAGAACTGGTCAGCCTTGGGTATCTGCAGTGCCTGGTACAATGTAAATTTTAAATGAATGAACACAAATAAATTGTATTTCTACAATTTCACATCTTGTTATAGTGGAAGGAATATCACTCTGGAGGTCAAGGGGTTGTAGTTCTTGTCTTCTCCAAGAATATTCTTTATGTGCTACTTCTACCATCTGTGAAATGAGAGATTGGAGGGGGAGCTTGAGGAAGCGGTATTAGATGATCATTAATAGTCCTGTCAGCATATTCTTGTAGGGTTTTATGAATGTTATAATTGCATTTTAGACCATAGTAACCAAACATTACATATTGATATATTTGCTTTTTTTTATTTAAGTGGTACATGATCAGCATTGTCCACATTTACAATCGATGGAGGAACAGTGAAATTCGGTGTTATGTTAATGGACAACTGGTATCTTACGGTGATATGGCTTGGCATGTTAATACAAATGATGTAAGTCTTTATTTTTCTGTCTGTGTTTTAATTGAGAGAATGATCCATCATTACAATATGAATTGAATTATAAAATAGTTTGGTAGCAACTTAAAACTTTGAAAATTTATTCTTTTTATTAAATGAATCTTTCATTGTTAAATGTCGTATAAGAAAATTGCTAAAAGACATGATTAGTGATAAAAAACAGAAACATTTGGCCAAAGTTTTAAATTTTTTTGATCAAAAACCTTGAATCTTATATTCTGTTTTTTCCAGCATCAAGCACTAAAAAATGTGGTTTACCCCTTATTTAGATATAAGAAGACCCTAAACAAAAGTATAACATACAGTCACTATTATTCATTACATAGTGATAAATGCTATGGGGAAAATAAATTGGGCATACAGAAAGTGTAGGTGTAGGGAAGGGAGAAGCCAGATATTGCAGAGATGATTTTAGCAGAAAGAGTGGAGCAAGCAAGGTATGTGGGGAACTTGTTCTATTCAGTGGGAACAGTGAGTGCAAAGGCTTTGAGGCAGAATAGGAAAGTTCAAGGAAAAGGCAATTTTTCTCGAGCAGAGGGAGGAGGAGGCATGAGGTTAGGCAGAAATCATTTTGGCCTTCATAAGCAAACAAGGCCTGGGCTTTCGCATCTTACTCAGCTTAAAAATCCTTGGAAGGTTTTCAGCAGAGAAGTGATGTGTGCTGCTATTTTAAAACCATCAGTCTGCCTGCAGTATTGAGAATATTTTGAAGGGAAATTACTGAAGCAGGAAGATCACTTAAATCGCTTATTGCAATAAAACAAGGAGACTATATTAGTTTCTACCAGTATGTTAGCAGTGGAAGAAGTGACACAGTAGGATTCTAGGTAGAGGATGACTAGAATTAAAACCTCAGGGGTCCTTATGATTTCTCTACTTTGGACTTTCTGTTGTCTGCATTCTGGCCTGTCAGAGCCAAAGTGAAAGGTTTGTTTTAATGCTGAAAGTACCTCCAAGCTCAGTAATATACAACCCTTCAAGCATACCTGGTTTTGTAAGAACTTACCTCTTAAACACAATTCATTTCTCAGTTTTGTTTGCATCTCTCTAGGCTTTCATCTCCCGAAGGGCAGGGATTTGCTTATCCTGTTTTGTATTCTTTTAGCTAGCATGTGCGTATGGTCCATAGTTTGTCCCGTAGATAGGGACTTGGCAGACTACACCCTATGAGCCAAATCAGACCTTCCCCCTGTTTCTGGTTTTGTATAAGCTGGGGGCTAAGAATCTTGGCTTTTAATTTTTTAAGTTTTTTTTTTTTTTTTTTTTTTGAGAGAGACACAAACCAAATCAAAGCAGAATGGGACAGAAACCAGGTGTGGCAGGCAAAGTTTAAAATATTTTCTGTCTGTCCCTTTATAGAAAAAGTTGCTTTTCTCTGCCATAGAAACTCATGGTTGAGCCACAACCAATAAATATTTAATAGAATGTTGTTTTCAGAATTAGAATACACAGATGAAATTCTCCTTTTTATCTTCTCTGCAGAGGAGATCTTCTCTCCAGAGTCATTTTATTATAGAGTGGAAGAAACCCCAGTGGTCTTCTTGACTCGTTAAATGATAAGACAGTATCTTGGAAAGAAAAGGCTTACTTTTTTGGTTATTTGTAATAGTGCCCTAAGAAGTGGAGATTCTAGATAATAACACATATATACATACTTTAGGCAGTTAAAATTCCTATACTTCTAATTAAAGATTGGATATTTAATGACAACAATTTTTTTTTGCCTTTGTACCCCATTCACAATTTTTTTACTTTATTGAAGTACCAATAGTACTTCTTACCTATATAGTTCTTGCTTATTCATACTAAGGTGTGAAATAGCCTGTGGGGATAGGGGAAGGGAACTGAGCCATGACTGCTTTCCCTGGTTTCGGTGGGTGGGGTGTAAGAAGTAGAGGCTGGAAGGATCTTGTTAAGCTTTTGGCTTCTTCAGTGCTGAATTCCTCATGTGGAGAGCACTGTATCATTGGCTTTAAGAAGCAGGTCTTAGTCTTATTGTTTATTTGATTCTGTGTAATTCCTACTCATATATGAGAAGGGATGGATTTTCTTTGTGTCTTTTACTTAATATGGAGGAATAGAGGAATAGATTCGTAATTTCAAAAATAAAGTAGAATAAAAAAATTATACCCTATGTGTTCATGATTAAATGTTGAAATAGTCATTCCCTTGATTCAGATCAGTCTCTCTATATATGGATCATTATACATCATTACAGTTGTATATTAGTTTAACTTTTGTAAATAAATAATTATAAGCTCTTTTGCCTTTAACTGTAATATTTGAAAAGTGGTAAGTCTGAAGATTGAGTAGGTGGCTACCGTTTGCTTAAACATAAGTGTGCATGTAACTGATCATTTTTCCCAAAAAACTTGACTGGCATTTATTATTTAAATAATAAAGTCTTAATTGATGCTTTCTGCTATTATTTTTGTTATATTTTAAAATCTTCTTGATAATGGAAGCTGATTTAAGGATTTAAACCTTTTTGTCATTAAAAATAATGCATTTGATTTTTTTTATGACTTTTAAAAATAGAGCTATGACAAATGCTTTCTTGGATCATCAGAAACTGCTGATGCAAATAGGGTATTCTGTGGTCAACTTGGAGCCGTGTATGTGTTCAGTGAAGCACTCAACCCAGCACAGATATTTGCAATTCATCAGTTAGGACCTGGATATAAGGTAGTAATAACTGTAATTTTATAAATTCTATGGAGAGTTTTAGATGTAAAATGTGGTGTAATATAAGTTTTAGTGAAAATCTTTCTTTAATATGGTTTAAGAGTCATTTCTATTTTTTTAGAATGTAGTCAGTTTTTATTATATGTTTCTTTTTGGTTCAAAGATGCTTTTTTCTCAACTGTTTTCTCTTTATAAACTTTTTTATTCTTCAGAATATTTTCTAATACCGGTGGCATGCCTTTTGTTAACAATTCTGAAATAATCTTATAAAACTATTTTGCTTAATGTATTTAAAATACAAAAATTTGAAATATACATATTACAGAGTAAACATAATAAAGAATTTGTTAATATTACTGGTAACTTGGAAAGAAGAGTTAAAGATTTAGAAGGAAAGTAAGATAATATACTTCAGGGACCTGAAATTATTCAATTTTAGCTTATATTTTTGCTTTAATTGCACTAAGTGAGGAAGTAGGTACAGTAGTGAGTATACTAATTTAGCAAAACTAATGTAATTTATCATTTTTTTTTTTTTAAACTTTCAAAGCAAAGACTCTCAGTAAGATAGAGCATGCACATATATGAGTTAGTTTTAAATGTGAAGTATACCTGGCTAGGGGAGTGTATAAGGGTTCTATTTAAATCACATTAGGAATTGTGAAGTCTCAAACTACTTGGAGCTGAAAGAGAATTACACATTATCGTCAAAGTGTTTATAATTCTGAAGGAGTACTTGTCTTGTATGGAAGTGTGGTTTTTTATTGAACTCAATTTAAATAATTAATGTGAACATTGTGTTATGGAAAGGAGTAGTAAATATTAAAAATATTCCCTCTTTGGCCTTTGTATTTTTGCATTGGTATTTCTCTTTTTATGTCATTTATATATAGATAGAGCGTGAGAGAGAGAGAGAGAGAGAGAGGAAAGTTTGAATTTACCCATATTGAAATACCTTTTTGCTCTCAATGACTTTAATAACCATAATAATATTGAAGAATAATAATACTATTATTTTTATGTCAAGGTAACAATGCTTGCTATCATATATTCTCCATATCATTTTTGTTTTTGTCTTACTAGCTCTAGAAATGCATTTGTGCTTGTACAGCTGCTTTTTCTTTCATGGGTCGTTTTGTTGGGTTTGCATCCTGGTTCTGCCATTGTTGATCTTGCATAGGAATATTTTTGTAATTCACATTTTTTATTAATATGCGACCTGCTTTTCTTTCCTACTTCTTTGAGTTGTTTCATAAAATACTTGCATTGTCTTTTTAAGCTCTAATAGAATGATATTGAATAGAGTGACAAGCAAACAAATGAAATATAAAAAGGTAGAATATCAAGAAAATACAAATCCAATACGATTGCTAATGCAAAATTTCAGAATTGATGGGAGCTTCCTTGCAACATCAAGGAAAAGGGCTGAATATAAGCAATTTTGTAATTCTTCTATTCACAAAGAAGCAAATTTTGTCCTGAACAGCTTTGCAAATTTTGTAATTTGTAGTATTCTTTTCACAAGACTTTCTTGTCATTCTTTTTAACAACAGTGATAATGAGCAGTAACCCTGTCATCATGTGTGCACAGCTCATGTGACATAGTATATCCTTGTTTTCCTAACACACAGTAGAGTACCTAAAGTCAGAACTTTTAAGAGAGAAACCTGTAAATTTGGGCATTACATCAGAGAGTATTTTATTAAGTTTTGAACGTTCTCAGCTCACCGCACCATTGTTGTTAGTGGGGGTTGGTGATAAATCCACGGATACATGCATTTTCGCAATTTGTAAATATTATAAGTACAATTGCTACCGTGACAGGCATCAGCAAAAATTTTTCATATTAAAAAACTTTTTTTTTGTAGGAATTCAGAAAATATAGGGAAGGAAGAATGCATATGATCAGATTGTGTTTTGATAGAAGAAAAGCTGAGTAGTTCACACATTATACTCAATTATCTTGGTAAAGTCACTTCCTGTGAGTGAAGGGGTAGAGGGCTACAGTGGAATTTTTAAGGTGTAGGGAATATAATAACTAGTGGACATTTGGATAAATCCCAAATGGAGTTTAAATTACTTAGTGTTGTATAATAACATAGTATTTATATGTTTTGCCTTGAGTTATATGTAACTTTCTTTCATTGTAATGGTCAGACAATATGATTCTGAGTTTAGTGTAGATAGCATGTCAACATTGGGCTTCGAAATTAATAAAATAAGTTAATTCTACCTTCAAATAATGTCATCAAACTATATATTCAATGGAGCCTGTTACAAATGATTTTGACTTGTTGGTCACTGGAGTGCCAGGTAATTTTTGTTCTGTCGAACATTTGGTTTTGAGCATTGCAGCTTATCAGTAAAAATTCTGTACTTGGTTATTTTCTGGAAATAGTAAATAAGTTATGGTATCACTTATTAACTAAATAAACCATTCAGTTTGGAAAGTAAAATACAGAAATTCAGAAAATATTTAAAATACAGAAAATCTCACTGTAGATTTGTCTAGTATGGTAAAATTTACTACCAGGTAAGTTTACTGTGGATCTCTATTTGGAGTTATTTAATGTCTTCGAGATTATAAAATCTTGTGTATCAGATGGCCCTTTGACATAACCTTGCAAATCAGTTTTAAACAAAGGTTTTATATTTTATAATTATTACTAGATATTTTCTCAGTGTTACGTTAACCCTTGTGGCAAGCAGTTAGTCTTCATTGCCAGATATTTGAAAATTTAGCTTTGCGTTCTCTCCTTCATTTATGAATATCGTAACATAATGGTATTTATAATTTGCTATATCATAATAAAGTTCTAACTGATAAGAGAAAAAGTATAACACAACCTCCAAAATTAAAATTCACTTCAGAGGATTTCCAATACTTGTATGGAGGGGTGAGCTCCTAACAAACTGATATTCTCACAAATAACCATTTGCAAACTCTGCACATAATGTAGATAGCATCTATTTGAGGGTTATGGAGATTGAATAAAAGCAGGCAGGCTTTGGAGGGTAGTCAATATATGGAACAGTCAGTCTACATGGCTTGATATCCCCATTTTTTGCTTTTATAGGAAACTTTCGGCCAGAAAATTTCTCCACAATGTTGTACAGAGCAATAGTCACAAAATTTAGCATATAATCCAAAAGTACTTATTCTAAAAATAGGAAAATGTGACTTATTCTCAAGGGAAGAGAAAATCATCATATACCAACTCCAAGATAACCCACATGTTGGAAATACCACATGAAGTCTATTATAACTAGTGAGGTAGAGAAAAATTTACTTATAATGAATTAAAAGATAGGAAGTGTCAACCATGAAATAAAACAAAATCAGATGGCAGTTCTAGAACTGAAAAATATATCAAAATTAAAAAACTATATGGGCTTATTAGCAGAGTTAATATGATAGAGAAGTAAATGAACTTGAGTATAGATTGATATAAACTTGGAAGAGAGTTATGAAAGATTGGGGTAAGAAAATAGAACCTTGGAGATGTATGGGGCAATTTTGAAAGGTCTAATAGACATAGTGTAAGTGAAAGAGCCAGAAAAAATATTTGAATAAATGAGGATCAAAAGATTCTCAGATTTGGTAAAAGGCTTATATTTATAGATTGAAGAAACTCAGAAAATTCCAACCAAAATAAATGCAAAGAGAACCAAAGTAGGCACATTACAGTCAAAGTGTGGAAAACCAAAGATAAAGAGAAAATCTTGTAAGCAGGCAGAGGAAAACTAGACATTGATAAGGGAAGAATAATTTGAATATCTGTACACATCTCATCAGAAAGCAGGAGAGCCATGGGTGGAACAAAATCCTTAAAGTTATGAATGGAAGAAAAAATCTATCAACATAGAATTTTTTTATCCAGTGAAAATATTCTTTAAGTCTTTTGAAAGAAAATTAAAGAAATTTGTTGTTATTTGACTGTCATTACTGACTGAGGAAGAAAACCTGGACGATTAGGAGTATATACGTGTAATACATATGACAACTAACAGAAAGATTTGGGGAGAGGCTATAAGTGCATCTATATAGTTGAAAAGTTACTGTACGTTACAACGTGTCTTGATAGAATGATGTTGACTATAATTCAATGGCTAAAGCAAAATTAACAAAGTGAAAATTGCATGTCTTTTCTTGAATGATACGTAAATGTGTATCCAGTATTTCATTTACCCATAGCATATGCTCTAGACCCCTCTTTCGAATTAAAGGTAACAAAAGCTCAGTTGAAAGGAAAAACAAAATAAATCAATGCTAGTTGCTACAGGTGAGTTAAATGAAATACAAATAATGAGCCTTCACTAATTCATCTGTTCATTCTTTTATTAAACATGTGGACACTCTTCTAGATGCTAGGGATATAACAATTAAACAAAACCAACAAAAACCCCTGCCTGTATTTTGGAGAAGTAGGGTGTGCAGTATCATGGGAGAAGACAGGTAACAAAACAAAAGAAAAATAAATAGTGTCTATGTGATGATGAGAGCTATGAGACACACAAAGCAGGTAAAAAAGACGGAAGTTGATGCTAGCTAAGTGGATATCTGGGGAAAAGCTTTAAGGTTAAATGCCAGAGCAAGAATGAAGGCCATTAGCAGAAGCTTACTTCACAGTTTAAAGAACACTGTGACTGTGTTCCTGCGACTGTCACAGAAGGAGCAAGGGGGAGCGTCAAAGATTAATTCAGAAAACAACTATATGCTTTCAGAGGGTTGTTATGACTTCATTTTTGCTCTTGAGTGAGAGGGATAGCCATTGAAAAGTTTTGAGTGTCCTGGCCTAATACCAATTTGAAAAGGATCACTCTGGTTACTATGGTAAATAGGGAGAAAAGGTGGAAATAGGGAGACCAGTTAGGGGACTGTTGGAGTTATTTAGTGAAAGAGCTCTGGAAAGTATTGAGACTTGATTAGATTTTTGATAAAGCATATCTAAAATATCTAAGACTCTGAAAGGTCAGCTTTTGGACATACTTTGGAGGTA